CTCCGTGAGCGGGCAAGATGAATCAAATCCTGCGCTGTGATTGGCTACCCGAGCGGGCAAGATGGAGCTATCTTGCCCGTTCGGGACTACCCGCCGTATCCCGCAAGAAAAACTTCCCAGACAGCCATATGATAAATCCTTTACTGACCAAGCTTGTTCGGTCAAGATGGCTGGATATTGGCCTAGTTCTTTTTTTGCGAGTTTATGGAACTCGACTCCGTCTCGGTCCATAAACATGCAAAAAAAAAGAACTTGGCCAATATCCAGCCATCTTGACCTCACACTTGGTCAATAACCCATACATACGAATGGTGGAAATCGCGTGATTTTCTGCTTAATCAGTTCTTCAATTTTTCTGTAGTGCCATATGGCATCGACTGTTACAAATAGCATTGACTGTTATGCTATATGGCATCGACCGTTATAAAAGGCATCGATCGTTTGATAAAGAGTGCTTGACGTCAAATTAAGAGGAGGAGCTGACGTGGTCAGTGATCACCACCTTGTGGCCGCACGCATGCGACTGAAACTCAGGAGAGTAGGGTCCAAGAAGCACAACAACCCCGATACAACATTAGTAGACTGCAAGATACCAGGACCAACAGGGGCTTTGTACAGTGAAGGATTAGGTTCCAAGGCTGGAGCACATGAATTAGCCAGATGATGAGATTGTGAAAACTGTTAAACGACTTTGGAAGCAAGTGAAAGCATCGTCGAATAAACAAGCAATAGCAGCCCGGGGATGCAGCAGACGAGGAAGAGGAAACAGAGGATAACGTATCGCCAGACAGGTAGCAAGACATCCAGGAGTAGCGCCGGCTAAAGAAAAAGATAAATGACAGCAGATCAGCCAGACTACAAAAGAAATACAAAGTGGGGTATTCCAGAGTCAACTGGCGAGTCAAAAGAAAGATCCGAACCGACACAAAAGCTTATGTTGAAGAGCTGACAAAGCTAGCTAGGAAGCAGCGCGGAAGGGAGAGCACAAGAACGTCTAAAAAGTCATTCGACTGGTCTGTGTGAAACATAGTGGAAGCAGGAATAACTCCTTACTAGATAAGCAGGAGAAACTCATCAGGACCTAAAAATTGAAACCGGACCACCGAAGCAAGAAGAGATCATCACTGCCATCATTTCCCTGAAGAATCATAAGGCTCCCGGCAAAGCCTCAATGCCAGGCTGTTCAAGGAACCACCCTAAGCATCTTGCAGCTACTTGTCGACAAAACGGAACAAAACGAAAATCCCTAATAACTGGAATCAAGGCATTATCACCAGGATACGGAAGGAAGGAGCTCTGTCAGAATGTAGCAACTAGCACAACACTGCACTATCATCCATTCCTAGCAAGATCCTAGCAAATGTCATCATGAGGGGCCTATCATTTGCTGCGAACCTTACGTTTCGAGGGGAACAGGCAGAATTTACAAAAAGAAACAGGCTGTATCGATTACATTTTCACGCTGAGAAATATTACCAATATACCAGATGGCAGCGATCTTTCTGAGTGATTTTGCCGAGGCCTTCGACACCGTGCATCGGTACGGTCTCTAACGAATACTGCGAGGATATGGAATCCCCGCTCGCAACTTTGTTCCGTTGGGGATAGTACCAGGTAGGGGTGTATTATGTCCACATTACTTTTCAATCTTGTGGTGGACTGAATTATACGGCTCACCACGGATCATGGGCATCCCATGGACCCGTTCTCTTACCTATGAGACCTGGATTATGCTGACAATTTAAAGCTATTATCGCACACACCCGAGAGAAGACCCGGCCACTCAACATCTTTACAAACAAGTCGGCCTTAACATCAACAGTAAAAGGGCTGAACTTATGGCACTGAAAACCACCAACAGAAACCTAGTCCAGGATGAGAATGAAGACCTTCCGTAACCAGACAAATTTACCTATCTTGGCGGCATTGTCAGCAGTGATGGTGAATGGGGGATGAGGAACAGATCTGGTCATCCAGAGCCGTCTCCGCAAGGACAGAAACTGCCTCAACATGATGAAAATGGCGTGGCGCTTCTCCATATTTAGCACTCGCACAAAGCTGAAACCTCAGCGGTGTCCTCGCAACTCTCCTGCACGGTTCGAAATGCTGGCGATTGACCGCGATGGATTTAACGAACCAATCCATATTACACCCTAAGAACCTCCGCCGGATTCTGTACATCTTTTGGCCCAAATCATCTAAACAGAGACGTGCTCGAACGGTGTAGAAGCGAATCAATGGCTCTCATGCTAAAGAGGAGGTGTTGGAGGTGAAGTGGCTACGTCACTCGTTAAGTTCCCTATACATCAATATACACGTTAAGAACTGAGAGAAAATTACTTATCATACCACATTCTTCAAACAAATCAGAGGTTGTATGAGGTGGAAAGCGCAATTGTAAAGAATACTTTACAGTAAGGATAATCGAACCATGAACACCTGACATTTTTTGTACATTTTTGATGACTATAGAGTGACGGCTCTTCATATAATATAAGAAGACTAGCATTTTTACGTTGTAAAAACACTAAATACTTTTGTTTATATGAAGATCCTTCATTCACTAGTCACAAAAAATGTAACATAAATATCAAGTGCTCTCACTGTAATCAACTCTTACGCTTCTTTCGTGCTCTCCAAACTTCCCGCGTGCGTCCATAACTCGATATACGTACGCTAAGCATGAACCAATTCTTTAATTTGTGATGAGCCGTTTCCACGATTTGGCTTCGGATTAAGTTGCGCTTGAACTCATTTATCGTCAACTGCGAATCATGTAATAAGGAAAAGTAACATTGTTCCGTTGGTTGATATGACGATGCTGTTGGAAAAGCATAAGGGTAACAGAACGCCACACAAAAGCAGACAAAGTTTCCTTTCACCTGAGTACTGTATTTATCAACCTGAAGTTGACCTCCTGGCCTAATGAATTTGTTACGCTAACGTTTTGAGCGTTAGCACTTTGCTCTTTCGCGAGGCTGAGACTTTACAAATATGCTACGGCGTTTACTTTATCTTTGTGAGCTTCAAGTTGACTGCAATGTGCTTCACTTTCTCGCCAAGGCAACACACCAGTTCCTCTCAAAACTGATAACCTTTTACATAAAATTCCTTTCATTACGAAAAACATTACAGAATCAACACTAGTTAATACAGTGTTAATACTAGCCAAAGGTTTTAAAATTTGATGGATTGCTCTGGCGTTCTTTACCGTTTATGCTGCTGCCATTTTAAGAAGCATACCGTTTGTATTGCTATCTTAAGTGAATATCAACAACATTTTTTTAAAGCAAATTCACGTCATTTAGTTTAATCATGTTTATTGTTCACAGAAAAAAAAGAAAGCTTACTCTGAAAGCTTGTTTGATTCCTCCGTTATCTGCTATGTTTTCTGATAAGGTTTGCTCGCCGTCAACCTAGAGTGTAAAATCATCAGTGATTATTCACCTTCAAAAATAAGGTGGAAAAGAAGAAAGAAAAATATGTTGCCATACCGTGCCCCCATCAAACGTAAAATTGGAGTATTGTTTTTTCAAACATTTGGTTTTCCTTTCAAAAGCTTCAAGAGTTTCCTCGCTCCACCAGTTTCGTTCATCTCCTTTCATGTCAAATCGCCTCCCTGCGTAGAATAGAAAGCACAACTGTTCCCACATAAGCTTGTCGGCTTTGAAAGACAAATTGCTCTTGGATGTCATTACAAAAATTTCACAAAACAACGATTAAACACAGCTGTGACCGTTTTCTGTGGGATGGGAAACTTGTTTAAGTTCAGTTGCTGGATCGGTAGTACAGCGATCCACTTACATGATCAGGTCAACTTACCATCCACATCAAATCCATGAGTTAGCTCGTGTCCCATAATAGCGCCAACTCCTCCGTACAACATGGCCCTGCAAGGAAATCAATGTAAAAATCGTGCTCGTGACAAACACTACAGTATTCATTATATTACGTATCCACATGCATTCACATTTTTTCATCACAGGCACTTTCCAACACACTGAATTCTTACCTTGGGTAACGTTTGTTGTAAAATGGCGATTGGAGAATAGCCGCTGGGAAAACTGAAAGCAAACAAAAATAATCAAACAGAACAGATAGAAGCCCTGTAGCAGGAATCTGAAAGCGCACTGAAGAAGATGAGAGTTGACTTGTACTGTACACTTGCGTTAATGAGCACCTTACGACGAAAACGACTTTTATCCGAAAAACTGTAGCAAGAGCTCGGAGAGCAGAAATTGTGTTTTGATCAAGTAACGAACGAGATTCAAAGTTACTCTTCCAAAGTAATTAACAGCAAAATGTATGAAACAGAATCCAGAATGACGAACTTTCGTTATAATGAACATATTTTACCAATCCCTTGACACCTCGTTTTTTCGGGGTTTCACTGTAGCACAGATGCTTGTTGAAAAAGTTTTATTTATCGGACAGACAATCAGATTAAACCTTTATACACTTACCCATTTTGTTGGCCAACATATCGTAATAAGCATTAACAGAAATAGGTGATAGTGCCCACCTAGAAAAGAATTAACACCAAAAAGGTTTCAGGATCATTACGTATAATAAACGACTATCTGGGCGAATATTTCTGGGCTAGACAAAACTCACTGGCGACCGAGATACAAGCTTAAGATAAAATTCCTTGAATTTATTATAGAAGCCTTTATATTTAACTTGCTAACGTTTCACAGGCAGGTTATATTACAACAAACGTAAGGTGTTTTAGTAAAATGGTAAAAAGGCAAGTCGTCATTAGCCTAGTGGCCACAAGTGCAGGCGCGTAACTCCGGTTTCCGTGAGCACGAGGCCTCTGGGTATATTGCGATTCCCCCTTGATGGAATGCTGTAATGTTCGTATTATGTATCGGATGTAAAGAGTATGTGTCGATCGCTAGGACTGTGGGAATCCTTGGTTTATCTTATGTGTCTGACATGTTTGTTAGGAGCGGACATGTTTGTTCTGGATCTCAAGGAAACATTACAAATGTCGACGAGGATGAAATGACTGTATAGTCAGGGAGCATATGTCTTAAAATAAATTTCCGTGGGATTTTTATGGTGAAAGCAAACCACCTACCTAAATGTGTTAAGGGAAACCTGAGGAACACAAAAAATGTTGTCGGCAATTTTGTAACCTGCACCGGCGGCTGCTATGG